CTTTGAACCATACCATTATATGATGACTGCATGAACTTTTATAGTAATTTTACTATATATATCCTGGTTGATCAGCTTTTGAAACATTAAATCAGCACTCAAAAATCTATAATTGATCAGATTACATATTGTTTGATTGATAAGATTAATAAATATCATTTATTATTACAAATCATACAAATCATTACTATAATAAACAATGAATTATGCATTATGATCCAGTATTTATATATAAGTAAAATTAGTACTAATAAAAGCAAAATTATATTAATCTATTGGCTTAATATACTTTCATTATTCATATTTGTCATGCTATTTTTATATTAAATAATCTAGGAGAGTTGGTTTTGATACCAAAAGATATGTCTGATATGAATTACATAATGTGATAATTTGAGGTTGAAGCATTCAATATTATTGTAATATGAATATTTAGTTTTTATTTTATTGATAATTCATATTATAAATTTAATTAAATAATATTTTATTGATTAATTTTATATTTATATTTTATTGAATATTAGCTATTTGAACTATTATTTGTAGACTTTTTAGATGATTAAACAAGTATAATGATTATAACTAAATTAACATGATAATTATTACAAAATTAGTAATATAATACTAGCAAAAATAAGTAATTAAATTTTTACAAAAGTAATAATAGTATTATAATTAAAGTAATATTTATAAAATTATTAAAATATATATAAATAATATATCTTAACTAGTAATTTAGATAGATTTTATAGTTTTTAGAATCTTAAAAATAATAAATAACAATCAAAAATATAATGATAAATAATTTACTTAATAATAAAATTATATTTTATTATTATTAAATTATAATCTTATAATGAAATTATATATTTATTATATAATATCTTTTAATTAAATATCCTTATTAAAAAATTTTAGATCTTGTTCTAGCTGATTACATTATAAATATACTGTTATTTTTTTTAGATTTATTATTTGAATTTGTTGAAGAAATTGATTATATTAATAATATCAATCACAAAATTATTTATATTTATATAAATCTATCCAGTAAAGAAAAAGAAAAAATAAAAAGAGTGAGAGTTCTATATTCAAAAATTTATATTATTTGTATATGAATGGATAACTGAAAAAGTAATGAACAAACTTAAAAGAAATTACAGTTAACAATTAAGGAATTTTGTAATAGAAAGCTTATCAGAAGATGAATACAATTATATTCAAACAGATTGTATATCAAATTCTATAAAAAAAAGAAATATTTAATATTTGTCCTTTAGAATTTGATTTTACAAGTTCTATAATTGAAATTTAGAACAGATTAAGTTAATATTTAATAATATTAATAAGATTGAGAAAGACAAGTACTATCATCTAATTCAAAAAAATTTTACATTTATTAATATAGTTGTTATATCTAATATACTTTCAGATGACTGTGAGTAAAAATTATTCTATTAATATAAATGATATTGTCATGAGTTTTAAACTCAAATAAGTAATCTCATAATATAAAATGTTTAACCAATATTTGTATACTTCTTTATATTATTATTAATTTTGATCCAGTTGCATTAAGATCAATATACAATATGACTTCTTCTATTTTAATAAATAAAATAGAATTATTACTACTAATAAATATTTCCTTTATATTTACTTAGTATATAAATGATCCTATAGTAATATAGTACTGATATTCTATAGCAATCTAATTAAATGTCCAGTAATATAATAAATATAATGATGTAATTATATGTAATTAATTTATTTGTTTATAGAATTTAATAAAGATAATCAAGTAATAGATATTTTAATTAAAGATATTTTATTTAAGTTATTAGTTGGATTAATTGCTATAACTTACTTTTTTATAGCTATAAGACCAGCTGTATTTATAATAAATATTTTCTACTAATAAATATTATATTATCAGAATATTATAACTATAATATATATAGTTTTAATAAAGTTTATAGAGTTTTTATAAAAATTATAAAAATTATAAAAATTATGTAAATTATGAAATTACAATAAATAAATTATATGTAAGATTATATATACAAATCATATATAAAATCACATGTTCAAATCACATGTTAAATATAAAAATCACATAATTTCAAATTCATCCAATAAGAATATAATAAATTAAATAATTAAATAATAAATAAATAATTTAATTTAATTAAATTAAATTATTAAAAATGTTAAATATAATAAAAATGATTAATTATCAATAAAATAACTATATTATAAAATATTTGGATCATAATAATATGAAAAGCTTGTTGAAAAATTGGATGAAAAATTAGAAACAAGTTATATATATTTTTATTTGTCTTATCAAAAGATTTATATGATAATTATTAAGCATACTTTCATATTATCAGCAAAATTATTGCTAAAAAGATATCATAAATTATTAATTATATTAAGTAATATACATTAAAAATTGATTCGAGTTCCTAGTGATAAGTTTAATTTTATTATATATTACAGACTTGTGTGATTTTTATTATTGCAAATTTTAATAAAGAAATATTTTAATTGTACAAAAACCATTTCTTTACATGTGATAAGATAATGGGATAAACTTGTATTAATCTATTAAATTTGCCTTTCAGCTAAAAAATTTAAATATCTCTATTTTCATTATTAATGATTATGAAGTACTAAAAATAAGTACAAGAGATGAATTCTTTGATTTTTATTATTATAATTCACAATTATATTTTTTTTACAGGATCTATAATTAAAAATAATTATATCAATATTTCCTTATGTGATTGCAATAAATGAAAAAATTAAAATCAATCAATATTATATTTAACTTAATAAACTGCAAAGCTACTATATAATGATAATTTAAACATATTAGTCTTATTATTTCTTTATTTATATATATTTATTATCTTTTTTTGTTTATAAATAATTCCAATTAATTTTTTGGAGACTTTTCTATTATTAATATTTATGAGAAATCTCTATATTATTTGTGTTTTGATAAACTAAATTTTTGTTTAAATTTAAAATTCAAATTGAACTTGAATCAAATTTTGATTTAAGTTCAAAAAATTTAAAATTTGAATCAAACTTGAATTAAATTATTATATAAATTTGAGTTTAATTTGAGTTCAAATTAAAATCAACATATAATATCATATATTAATTTGTAAGTTTAAATATAAATACAAATTATAATATTTATTAAAAAATAAAAGTTTACTTAATAGTAATTAAATTATTTTTATTTTTGTATTTATTAAATTTTATTATAAATTCTATATAACTCTTCAAATATTTATTATTAATATATATATATATTATCTTATATTAACTTGTAATTCATATTATTGGTTACAACTTTACTTAAAATTGTAATTTATAATTATTATTAAAAAATTAATATTTATTAAAATATCAATTTGTAATTCTAGTTATAATTTACAACTTTAATTAAAATATCATCAAATATTTACTTGAATTCAAATTAGATTTTAGATCAAATTCAAGTCAAATTCAAAGTTTAAACTGAACTCAAATCAGATTTTTAATTGGATTTAAATTTTTAAACTAAATTTTTGATTAAATTCAAGTTTAATTCAAGCTTGAACTGAATTGAATCAGATTTTTTTTCAAAATTCTATGTATCATATATATATATTTGTTTCATTAATATATGATAACAAGAATTACAATAAAGTTTTTAGAAATTTCAATTTTTCTAACTATAAAAATTTGCTTGTATAATATAAATATTCAATCAATACATTAAGAAAAAAATAATATTAATTTTTTATTTTTCTGATACAAGTTATATATTTATATTACACAAAAAAATAATATTATATACAGTCAAATTCCTCTATAGTCATCACCCTTAGGAAAGCAAAATTTGGTGACTATAAAGGAGATGTGATTATAGAGAGGTTTTTTTACTATATTTATATGTAAATGAAAAAGCAAAATAATGTGACTATAGAAAGGTGTGACTATAAATGGGTGTGACTATAGAGAGGTTTGACTGTATATATATTGTATATTAATTTATGTTTTTACAATTACTATTATATACTAATATAAGTATTGAAATACAAGAATTACTAACTGATCATTTATATTATTATTTCAATTATATTTGAAAAAGAACAAACAATTAATATAATAAGATTTTTTTCATATTTACCTAATATAAATTCACAATATTCTTAATTACACACTAAGCATAATAATAAAATAATATTTCTTAACTAAAGACATTATAATTTCTTTCTTGTAAAAAAACAAAGTAAAAATCTTTGTTATGATAATTATTATTATACTTTAATAGTATTAGTTTCTTTTTTGTTATCTTTATTTTAAAATTTTCTTTTCTTTGTAACAAATTTCTCTTTCTTTATCTTATAAATTGGATAATAAACAATTTTACTAAAAATTGATATAGAATCTTTATTATAAATATCTTATTTTTATTATTATTTTGTCTCATTATTTGATTTTCTTTTCCAACTCTTGTTCAGATTTGCAAGCTAATTCTTTAATTAGTAAACAAACCTGTAATAATATATACAGTCAAACCTCTCTATAGTCACCACCCTCAGGAAAGCAAAATTTGGTGACTATAGAGGGGTTTTTTTTACTATGTTTATATGTAAATGTGAAAGCAAAATAGGGTGACTATAGAGGGGTGTGACTATAAATGGGTGTGACTATAGAGGGGTTTGACTGTAAACATAATAAAAAAATCTTTATAATTACCAAATTTTGCTTTTTTGAAAGTGATAATTATAAAAAGATTTGAACAGATTTTGAACAGATAAAATAATACAATAGAATCTAGTATGTTGCTAGATTATCCAATGTTATATTGAGTACGCGTGACAAATTATGCATTGATCAACATACTATCCAAATTTGGCGTTGTGTACATAGCGATAGATGCATCCCATAGATGTATTCGTAGAACATCACTAGACGAAAGTTGCAGTTTCTCGTCGATGAGTCGTCAAAATATGTTTCCCAAAAATTATCAGAAGAGAAAGACCTCAAAGGAGGTGTTTTCTTTACCTGCGCCACAAAGTCCGACAAACACCACTACACTAACTACTAATGATACTGAATCGTCTAAAAACACAAACTCTAACGCAACTCGGCCACTTTCATCACTACCTCCTGCACATACTACTTTCTCTGCTAGAAATTTAGTGAGAACAAATAATCGACGCCCATTTCCTCCTCCACCCTTACAACGCTCTGAAACTAATGAGCAAAGAAATCAACCTACGAAAATTTCACCTGTCAATAAATATCTATTTTCGACACTGCCCAGACCAAATAGCAATTTCGTCAATGGCAAGGAACAACTTGACGATTCCCTTTATACTTCTTCAGACAGCCAATTAAATCAAAAAGAAGCCGTGCGATTTGCAAAAAGACGAAAAAATCGAGTGCATTTCTCAATTTCTTTTAAGGATTTTCACAAAATTCTCGAAATTGAACAACAGTTTTATAAGGGTAAACCAATAGTGTCAAATGGACGAACTTTACTTAAAGAAAGTACATTATTAAAAGATCCCGGCACTGGTCCTATTCCCCGTAAAGTTTTTTTATTTCAAGACATCTTAATAACAGCAGAAACACTGCCAGAAGACAAACAAAAAACATTAATGAAAACACTTGACAATCAATTAATCGTACCACTTACGCATTTACATATTGAGTCGATAAATCATGGAGAAGACGAACAACAACAACAAACATCACCACCAAAGTATCTCATTGAAGTCAATACAGGAAAAATCTTTTACTCTTTCGTATTTGATTCGATGAAAGAACGTGATGAATGGTTTGATATTCTTAATGAGGCAATAACGAATCGAAAAGTCATTGTTGCCAGACGTGCAAAAGAAATGGATCTTGCCCGACAGAAGAAACGTAGTAATAGTATCACTTTCGAACCTTTATCACGAGCTTGGGATGTCACGCAAATCATTAATGAAAAATCAGGCACAGTTTATGATGCTATTCGATTTTTAAACGGAATCAGAAATGCTAACAACAATAATAACGGGGTAATAACGAGAAACGCTAACAACAACAATAATAACGGAATAATAATGAATAAAGGAAATAGTAGTAGTAATAGAGGTATCAGTTATTCTTCTCCTGTGGGTGATTCAAATGATCTGAATGGGTCATTCTGGGTACCCGATGAGGATGCAGTCGGTTGTATGGTTTGTAAAGTCACAAAATTCGGAGTTCTTGTACGTAAACATCATTGTAGACTCTGTGGTCGAGTAATTTGTTGGAAGTGTTCACAAACAAGAGAACTTACTTATGGACAAGAAAAATATGTTCGTGCTTGTAAAGACTGTTTGGGTGGAGAATACGATTCAAATGATGAAGAGGAATATTTGAATGGAAATGGTGAATTTATTATACCGATAAATGGTGGAATTTCAATTCAGTCAACTGTAGATTTAACTGCTGTTGGTTGTACAACCACCGTCACTACCACCACCACTACTTTAGATAGTAATGGAGACGAGTCATCATCTTCTGTGGAGACTAAAAGAAACTCTATCATGATAGAAGAAAAAAATAATTCTTCCGCTGCTTCTTATTACACCGCATCTTTGACTAGTGTTAATTTAGATTGATTGATTAATTTATTTATTAGTAATAAATAGTTAGTATAATTTATTCGTAATAGTATATAACTGGGATTTTTTGGTTTTTAATTTTTTTTATTCATCTCTACAAACATAATGAATAATGAATGAAAATTTTCTTCTTTTCAAATGTAATATATTTTATACATCATATATCCAATTTTTGGAAAGAAAAAATGCCTTTTTTTTGCTCTCTTTCTATATATATATATCTAATTTAAGTATAACTGGCTTTTTCTTTTTCTAACCAAATGTAATCTGTGAATCACCGCCACCTGGAGGCTTCAAGACACTTTATGAAATTGTTCAAAATGAAGGATTCTCATTAGTACAAATTTTTTGATACTAAAAGTCAAAACTTAGCATACTAACCGACTCGATGGCTTAATACGCTGTTGATCTTGTTCTTGTTGATCTGCCGCCTGTTTTTGATTTTGATTGGTCGAAGTATCTTCATTGCCAAAAGTAACAGATGATTGATCTCTGCCGAAATGTTTCTTGTACGAGCCAGTAATCGAGCCAGCGGCTTGACCATCTTGATCCCCTCCGATTTCAAATTGTGATCGGCCAGCATTATAATTCATTCTCCGTTGAGTTTGTGGTGCTTTGTATTCACTATCAGCATCTCCTCCAATAGAGAATTGCGATGTATTCTTGTTTTGGTTAAATCTACGATTTGCAGCTAGGTAGAATAACAGACAGGTCGTATAAAATATATATCGAATTGATCTTTAAGCAAATGCATAAATAATAAAATCGCTTACGTTCTTCGTGTGTATCACCAAACACGCTTGATTTTCCGCCAGTTCCTCCAGGTTGATTCACACGACTAGACGTATGAATATTTCGACGAGCAGGTTCAATTTGTTCTTCGTGCGTATCACCAAACACGTTTGATTTTCCGCCAGTTCCTCCAGGTTGATTCACACGACTAGACGTATGAACATTTTGATGACCAAGTTCAATTTGTTCTATGTTAAAGAATTCAAGAAACATTGTTATTATATTTTAAGAATTTCAATATATAATAAAAATCGATTCTTACGAGAAACCCCAGCAGCTAGATCTGATCTTCCAAATTGATTGAGATATGCATTAGTTATATCACGAACACCATCAATTTGCCTTTCGCCCACGATAGGCCAAGAGTTTTTGTCGGTGATCCTAGCCAATAAAAAGTAGAATAATTCAACCTCTGTTTAACACGGAAATTAGAACGAATATATCAAAAATGAACGGTAATTGATAATCACAATTTTAATTGTTTAAGTACGCAAGCTTGATCCCAATAGATACTAAGGATTTTTAAAAGATAAGGGTTAAAGTATTAGGTGTTAATTTTTTGTTTCTTATAACTGGATTGGAATGTTTAACAATACCGAATTGAAGCAATTCTTTGTAGCTCAAAAGACGCGATTGTAACCTGTGATAAAATGGTTGAGATTATACAAATTCGAGTATAAATATGTATGATATATTTGTTATAGACGAGAATTATTACGAATTTGTTTTACCATTGGGATTACAACAGTGGCATCGATAGTGTGCCTTGAATCTATTCCTGGAATAATCCAATTTCCTTCTCCAGTAATGAAGTTAATGGTAGCCTCTGATTCTTCAACAATCGAGTCGTGACCGATAGTTCTATGAAATATTTGTTCCTTGACCGAAATCTTTGCCGAGTCATAGGCTGCAGCTAAGTATTGCCTTACAGCGTCATAGCCTCGAGCCCCAGATGCTGTCGGCACAAACAACAAAGATACAGAGTCAGTAAAATGGTCACCATCACGATGACGCCTATATTCGTTCCAAGTTTGTTGAATGCTCATGTTAGATTTCCTGTAAAATATAAAGCTAAGTGTATATTTTTCCTGTTCTTTTAAAGTAGAAAGCGAAGTGTATATTTTTCCTGTTCTTTTAAAGTATAAAGCGAAGTGTATATTTTTCCTGTTCTTTAAAATATAAAGCGAAGCGAAGTGTATATTTTTTTTGAAGGGTTCACGTAAATAAATAATAGCTCGAGAAAAAATTCGATACTATTTCTTTCTGTTTTGAGAAATAGGGATTTGATATGAAAATCTGATACGCCTCTGTGTTTTATACAGAAAAATTATATGTTGCACTACCTAAAAAATTATTTTTTATGCTGACTTCGCATAAATGCAGCCAATTGGTAAGTTCGACCCCTGACGATCGGTACTACCAACGATAAGTACCCTAGCCATTGCGAAAAAAAAGTTACGGGTCATGTGATTCCGATCTATCCGAACTAATCAGATTTTTCCAACCGAAATTCCGATCCAAATTCCGACTCGAACCCCAAATCACATTATTGTATTTTAATAAATGTGGGAATCATGATTTTTTATTCATATAGATATATATTTACAATAAATTCTAACTGTATTTATTATATAAAATAAAAATTAGTTCTTTCTAAATTAGATATATACAAATAATATAAAATAATATATCTTTAAAATATCATATCATAAATCATATTGTTATCATTGACAAACAAAAATCTCCAATTCTGGCTTTTCTGGATGAAATGGTGAAAGATGAGCTGTGGATGTCATCAACATCAGACAGATATTTTATCAATATTGCAAATTTTCTAATTTGACATGGTTTTTAGTGTTGTTACAATTTATTATTTAGATCTCTTTTATTATATTATTATCAATTGTGACTTCAACCAATTATCTATTTGTATTTAATTATTAATTTTATTTGTTTATTATTAAGATCCAGTTATATTAAAATTAATACACAGTGTGATTTCTTCTATGCTATTAAAATAAAATAGGATCTTACTACTACTAATAAATATTTTTATTTGTATTTACTTAGTATGTGAATAGTTTTATAGTAATACAGTACTGATATTCTATAGCAACCTGGTTGAATGTTTAGTAATGTAATAAATATAATGATATAATTACATATAATTAATTTGTTTGTTGATAAGATTTAATAAAGACAATCAAATAATAAATATTTAATTAAAGACATTTTATTTAAGTCATTAGTTGGATTAATTACTATAACTTTATTATGTTGGATCTAATTGATTACAACTTGCTCTTTTATAGCTACAAGACCAGCTATATTTATATCTAATATTTTTATAATTAAATTATAATATAAGATATATTATACATATTAGATAAATATGATATAGTAGATAATGTTGACATGTCTGAAAACTTTGTTATCTCTGTTATCTCTACAATCTATATTAATACAAATTATACAGATCATGCAGATCATGCAAATTATGTGAATTATAAAAATTATAAAAATTATAAAATTAATTAATAAATAATAAATCACATATAAAATCACATATACAAATCACATATAGAAATCTATATTATAGAATATTTGAACCATAATATTTTCTACTACTTTAAAAAATTGAGCTCCTGCAAAATTATATAATTAAATAATAAATAATTTAATATTAATTAAATAAATAATTAATTAATTAAATAATAATTAAATAAATAAATAATTAATAATTAACTAATAATTTGACAAAAATTATATAATAAAAATAAGATAAAATTATTCTAGTAAAATTTATAAGAAATAAAATAATAAAAAAAATAATATAATAATTAATTAATTAATAAATAATAATTAAATAGTTATATAAATGAAAATTATATCAAAAAAATAAGTAAAAATTGTCTAATTACATATATAATTTAGTATCTTTGCCAAAATTTGCAAAGCTCAACCAACCAATAATAAGAAAGTAAAATAAAATAAATAAAAATTAAAATAATTATCTTAAATTTTAACCTACAATATAAATAATTTTTAGTTTTTGTTATTCAAATCAGGCACTAAAGATAACATATCAAATAGTAAATTTTTCAAGATTTTGAATTAATAATTTGAAAATAATAAATAAATGTGAAATAATAAATAAATAATTAATTAAATATATAAATATCATAAATAATATCTTCATTTTAATATTATCTAGAATAAGATATACTTAATAATATATTTACACACTTCTGCTAAGTCTAAAAAATCAATCTTATCATATTAAAACATCTAATTAAAATCTCATATAAATGATTCAGATTATAATTAATAATATTTTAACTAAGACTTCAAGGAGCATAATCATGATATATTATTTAGCAAGGATTTTTAAGGAATAATTAAGAGGAAAAAATAGAGATCATACTTATTTTATTCTTATTCAATAGTGTTTTTTTTTTGTTTGAATTGATAATAATTTTTAAAGGAAGAAATAATATTCTTTTTATAAAAAAATTAATAATAATAAAGAAATTATATATGAATATTGTTGATTACTAATTGTGAATTTTTATTGATTGTTAATCTGGTAACATGATGAATAGCACAGTTGCACTATAGTGTTGATCTGTTTATTTATCTATTATTATTAATATTATCTTCTTTTTTATATTACTCTTCTTTTTTTTTAATAATCTAACATGTGCAAATGTCTTGGATCTGCTTATATCACTTCTGTTATTGTGTGTGAGTGATATTTTATAGTCTTTTTACTATTATTTTAGCCTTTGTTGATTTTTGTTAGGAGTAAATAATAATATTTTGTCTTTTGTAATTGTGAAAAAATGTTTTTTCTTATTAGGTGAGTAATCTCTTTGTTTTTTCTTTTCTTTGTTGTTATTGATATTTTTATTTTGTTGTGGAAAGAGTTTGGTATTTGTTTTTCAAAAAATTCTCTTTCTCTTCTTCTTTTTAAGAATTTGTTCTCAAATTCCAGATTTCTTTGTTTATTAAACACAATTTACTCTTTAATCTTAATTGGGTGAGTTTCTCTGTTAATTGTTGGTTAACTAGTGATAATTTATGTATAATGGTATTGTTTTTGTGTTGGAGGGAGTGTTGTATGATCAGAATAATGGATATTTGTTTTGGTTTTTCTTGTTCAAATTTTGGGTAGTTGTTATTTTTCAATAAAAACTTTATCAATAACTTTGAGCTATAATAACTCAATCAATTTATGTCCAATTTTGGAGAAATATATATCATTGGGTTTGCAAGATCAAATGGAGTTCAATGGTATAATTTTTATTGAATTTCAATTACTGGGTGAAAAGATATTATCATTCAAAGATGGTTATGAAAATTTTAAAGCCTGTTTTCATTTTTTTGTCCAACTTTGAGCTTGAATATCTCAATGAGTTTTTGTTCTATGATGAAGAATTTTATATTTTCAGATTCCTTAGGTCATGGAGAGTCTGATGGTGTAAAAATTAGCGATTTCTGATTACTGGGTGAGGAGATATCGTTGTTTTTCTTTCATGTATGAAAATTTTCATTTTGGCATTTTTGGATGAAATTTTTTTGTGGGCTGACTTTGATTGTGAATATCTCAGTCAGTTTTGATCCTATAGTGGGGAATTTTATATGTTTGGATTCCTTAGATTCTAGTGAATCCAATGATGTAAAAATTATCGAATTTCGTTTACTAGTTGGTAAGATATTGTTGTTTCCCATTTGTGGTTGAGAATTTTCATTTGAATATTTTTGTTTAACTTCAACCTTAAATATCTTGGTGAATATTGGTCCAATGATAGGAAAATCAATATTTTTGGATTTCTTAAATTCTGGCAAATCTATTGATATTGTTACTGTTTTGAGCTTTTGCATATAAAAGTATTTCAAAATGGCAATAATGACTGTGTTTATGACAATTTACTTTGAATTTTATGACTAAATGATGTTTATGATGAAAATAATCTTCCTTGCCAGTTTGGGTATTTAGAAAATTTTTCTCTCAAAAGTTTTTGTTTTTACTCCTTTGCTTATTGATTATTTTGGCAAAATATTTTATATAATATGTTTTATTCCATTTTATTTATAAAATGGTAATTATTCATTCTTAAAAAAAATTGATGTTGGTTTATGTTAACAAAATGACTTTATATTATTAGAAAAGCAAGAATAATATGTTTCTTGATAAGATAAAAATAATAAAAGTAAAATTAAACTAATAACAAGACTAAACTAAAAGAAAACTTAATCAAAAACTACTTCTAATTCCAAAATAAAATCAATTTAACATATCAAACTCAATATTAAATCAAAAGAAACTTAAAACCAAAAAAATAATAAAAATAGCTTATTAAATATTATTAATTTATCTTTATTTTATCTTTTTATAATTATTTTATCTTATTTTATTTTATCTTATTTTATCTTTTAGTCATTTTATCATTTTTTCTATTTCATCTTTTCAATTAATCATTTTACTTTTTAGATAATTATTATTATTCAAAATTATATTTTCAAAAAATGTATAAATAGATATACTATTTGAGCTTTAACTTGATATATTGCAAATGAAAAATAAAATTCTTTCTTAACAAAAATTTTCTTTTAAATAATATTCATCTCTTTTACTTTTTATTATATATTAAAGCTTATATACAAGTGACTTTGAATTATATTGTATCAAACAAAATACTAATAGCTTTATATTATATTGTACTAAACAAATTACTATTATTGAATTATTAGCTTTAGATCATTATCATAATTGAACTCCTAATAGGTATTATTATGACATAAATATTCAACCAATGTCTAATACAGTTTCTTCTAAATTATATTCAATTTCAGTAATTTCAGTTATCCTGGGATCACTGCGCTATACATCTTCTTCTATCTTTAAGATAAATTATTACTATTATCAATAGATTATAATGTTTACTTAATGTGAAACAGTCCTAAAGTAATACAGTACTGATATTCTTTAGCAATTTTGGTTAATGTCCAATAGTGTGCAATTAATATAATTATTATAATATAA